CGGAAACAATATTAAAACCGCTACAAAATTTCCAAAAAATAATTCAAATTTCATAAAATTTTGATATAAAAAATAAAAGAGTAAGAGTGATTTAGGTTGACCAAGTTAATAGCAAATGAGAACATCAAATTGGGACGGATGTAATAATAAAATAAATTAACTCAAATATTTAAATTATTCTTATTATAGCAAGATTATTAAAGGCCAACCAAGCTCAATAGGGCAGCCGTTTGATACACTTTTATGCAGAAAACGTTTCTACGGTCATTCAACACAGGCTCTTGAACGAAACCCAGAAAGCTTTATTGAATTATTGTGCTTTCAAATGCACAAAACCGATCCTCCAAGTCTCATGTCAGTATGTTGTTTGAACTCGGATGTTCCTTATGGTTCATGAATGAACTAAATTCATACCTTGCCTTGCATCAATTAAGAGCTTGATAGACATATTATCATTACAATTATTTAAAGATATACATAGTACAATTGCACTATTATCAATATACATAGTACAAATTTATAATTGGCTTTATAATTTGATGATTCAATCTGTAGATGTCACACAGTCAGTGAACAAAACCAAAACGAAGCTCCTCTATGGAAAGGAAAATGCTTTTGCTACACAAAATGTGTACACAAAATATGTACACATGTCTGTCCTTCGGAGAAAATTTGTCTGTCACAGACAACTCATAATGAATTATCTGTGACAGACAAATTTTCTCTGAAGGACAGACATGTGTACACACATTTTGTGTACCCCAAGCAAAATCCGGAAAGGAAAAGAAAATAGATCCCACCTGCACAAAATTTATTGAATTAACTGAACTTAATCAAAATATATAACACAAAACTACAACTAAATGAAAATACTTTTATGCATGGGTCAATAGATACAAAAACAACCATATGTGAAGTACAACCTGCTGACAGTATTATCAACGCCAAACTAACCAAAAAGTTCTATTTTCATACTCCATATATAATTGAAAACTAGATAAATTGCTGAATGAGTTTAATGGCATTTTTTAAAATTACTTTTGAGAACTTTTGAGGAAATATTTATCACAAAGGGTATGCTTACATAACATTAACGTGGATATTAAAATTGCGTTGCAAAACTTAAAAGGTTTGAAAAGAAATTGTTTTAGATGAACTTTTTTCAAAGGAGAAAACTATATTTGAAAAGAAATTTTGAGAATAACAAGAGACATAGCAATACAATAGCACAAAGCTATCCTGAGGTGAGACATAGAAGTATAGAACTAGCTAGCCGGTGAGAACCTGTCAAATTTGCTAACCCCGCATCATGATAGGCTAATGGTATCGCTAAATATGCTACTAAAAGGAAACGACATAAAACAAGAGTTATCAAAATGAAAACAACGAACAGAATTAAAACTCATTGTTTTCAAGCCACCTGTAAGAGAGAAGAGGTTTTATTGGCCACCTCCAAAGACGTCATTCCGATTTTACCAGCCATCGGGAAGGGAGATCGAAGAGGTTTGCCCAGCCACTGACGGCACTTTGTCGTAGTGCCTCAAAATAATTAAAATACTTGCACTAATACCGTTGTATAGCGTAGTAAGGTTTGTATTCGCAGGAAAAGGAATACTTCTCTTTTAATTAAATAGTAACAAAGGGAGGTTTTAAGATTGTTGTTGAACTTGAAGTATATTTAAACACTAAGTTGAACGACTTATGTGATTTAATTAATTAGAGGTGGAGACTTGGTTTTGCTTATATCCACTTAATGAAATGTTCGTCGATCCCGGTTATATCTGTAACTAGCCTCCTCTCAAATACTCAATCGAGGAGTATCTCCAATTCACTGAGGGTAGTTATTAATAACGAGACAAGTTCATTAAAAAACTTACTACCAAGTCAATATAGAACACGTGCCGTATATTGAAACGATAGTAGCAATAAAACTTAAGATAAAAACGGTTGAGATTGATAACCTCAACACAAGTAGTTTATTAGTTTAATCAATATAATTAATTCCCCTTAGATTATTAACCATGAGACACATGCATTAATAGTCCAAGTTTACTAGCGTGAAAGGACCGAACGATTAACAAGCGAATTCGTCGATCGATTCTAATAATAATTAATATATGAAACAAATCTAGTTGATCCTCCAAGTAATGCTCAAAATATCAATATCAAATATGAATATAAATTATATTAATTAATATTCAAGGAAGATGAGTAAAGAAAATAACTCACAACTTACAAATCATTAAGCTTCAACGTAGCAAAACCAAGATGGAAGAGTTAGCTCCTCATTTGGAGACTAAACATGCTAAAATATAAAGGAAGTACTTAACTAAAATGAGCTTTAGAGTATAAAGGAATTGGTGGTTTTATTGGGAATTCGTTTCCAAGTGATAACGTGTCCATTCTGTTCTTCAAAAATTAATCGTTGAGGGTTTGATCAGATGTCTAACAGAAAATCAGGGTTCAAATACAGAATATCGAAAACTAGACTTCAAAAATCTAAGTTCGAGAAAGATTATAAAGAGGTGTGATACAGAAAATCATAGTTGTGTCTTGCTTGAGATGCTGCAGATCAGATGTATAAACAATATAAGGGGGATTACAACCATTTCAGTTGTGCTCATGTACATGTTTTTCATTTTCATTTTCATTTCATTTTCATTTACCCCAGTGTCGCAGTAGGTGGGGGGAGTCGGATGTACGCAGTCTTACCCCTGTACTAAAGCACAGACAGACTGTTTCTGGATGACCCATAGTGAAAATCGCGTCCAAAATTGCATGGACTAACTGCTGCTTCATAAGAAAGAAGCGCAGACAGTTTAGTGAGCCATTTTGCTTTATTCCATCATATTCTCAAGCCAAAAAATAATGAATTTTTGGCTCCATTACAAATGATGGAAACTCATGTACGTGTTTTTATATAGAATAAATATATTCGTGTGAAATAACATAGAGAAATGAACTGGACTATTATATTGCGATCAATTTTATATGCAGACATGTAAAATGATTGTCCTGTTTATAGGGTAGGATAAAACGGTTCTAAATTACAATTATTTGATTATAAGTTCATATAAGATTGGTATATTGTTGAAATATTTGTCCCACACCCGAATGGTGCATATTAAACAATAAAACTCTATATAAGATCATGTGTTATTCCTTCTATTAGAGGAACCTCGACTCTTAACATGGTATTAGAGTCAGCTTCGATTGTGGTTAGATTGTTGTTAAGCACCTACGATTAAGGCTTTGTTTGCAAGTGCTTGTGTTTAAATAAAAGCACTTTTTGGGAAAAGTGATTAGTAGTAAAAGTTGATAGTGTTTGGTAAAATAAGTGCTTTTTGTGTAATAGAAAAAGTAAAAAGTAGATTCTACATGAAAGCCGAGAAAGTAAAAGTTGGTAGTGTTTGGTAAAATAAGTGTTTTTTTCTTTAAAAAAAAAGCCACAAGCACTTAAATTAAGGACTTGCAAACAGAGCCTAAGGGTAGCTCATTAAAGAGTTTGTTTGGTTCACTTATACTCCCAATATTATCCTCTCTGGTTTTGTCCTTTGTACTCGAAAAAGAGTATAAAGGAATTGGTGGTTTTATTGGGATGGGAGGAAAAAGGGTGTATTTATAGGTGTTTGGAGGTGGCAGGACTTGGTACCCGACCGAGTATATAGGGTACCCTATCGGGTATTTTAGGCAGTTTCCCGGAAAGTCACTTTTCTGGATGGGTATGAGCCAAATCTTCAAAATTCTGCACGTTTTTTGTCTCTCCAGATTCTGATTTTGACACCCGAATCAACTCAATACCCGATCGAAAATTGCCTATATCCGAACGGATATATAAACTATTTTTCAATCTTCTCTTTGTCTTGTCCATTTGCACTTTCCTTAATCTTTTAGGGTCCAATCTTGGTTCTTTTGATGATCTTGACCTGTTTTAAGCTCAGAATAATCATAATCTAAAAAAAATTACAACTATCTAGAAAAATAAAGTAACTACACCAAAAGTGTGTAATTTCTACAACAACAAACAATAAAACTAATTAAAAATGTAACTATACATAATAAAAATATAACAATATCAGCCACCTCCAAAGGAAGTATCCCGCTCACAAGATCTAATAGAATTTCAAGCGGTGGTGACAGAAACACCCTACAAGAGAGGGGAACAAAAACGCTAGATATACCGGAAAGGAAACCATGACAGTCTTCAATTGCTCACGAGTAGCAGCCTGCGATCGAAACTAATCTCCCTGCTATGCCTCGAGCAAAGCCTGCGAAATCCAAAGTCCTCATCACGGAGCCCTTCTGCTACGATGATGCCGGCGATCTTGGTTAGGATTCAACGTCGCCTTTGTTTCTTTCGCTAGGGTTCATCGCTTTTCTCTCTTAAGCTACTCCAAATTTGTTGGTTGAATTAAATATCCCAAAATATCAAAATCATGTCGACTAACTTCTGTCTTAATCCAAGAGGGACTGAATAATTGTATCAACTGGTTTACTAGGTATTAATTTAGTTTCTAATTTCTATCAATCAGCTTATCAACTCAATTTGTCAAATTATTAATATAGAATAAACACTGGTGGAAAACGAGCGATATGCGGCACTTTTTTTGGACAAGTGCGGCGCTTTTAAGCGCCGCATATTCGACCGCCGCACAGGAATTTTTAGCGGCGCTTATTTTTATAAACGCGCCGCAGATGTTGCGGCGCCTATTTAAATTAAACGCCGCATATGACGTTTTAAAATTACTGTAAAATTAGGCCGCCCGTGCAGCGCTTTTTTACGACAAGCGCCGCGTATAAATAAAAAATTAAAAAAAAAACGTTTTCTATCTGCGGCGCCTATTTCTTAACGGCGCCACATATTTAGTTCAATTTTTAAAATACATGCGGCGCATAACATTAAAAAAGCGCCGCATCTGCTATTTTTTTTTAAAATTACATTTTAAATAATTAATAATTCCTAATATTCCAAAACATACACATTCATCAAATCTGTATTGTTACTAGCATTCGAACACACTATATGTTTACCAAAATACAAACATACATCAATTTTTTTGTTACATCAAAGACAAATTGTAGCAACACTTCCAAATTAAACACGAAATGACAAAAAATAAGTTTACATTACAATCCAAAATAAGAAATTGTAGCTAATCTACATATTTATAACTACATCTAAAAAGAACCTTGCCCATATATCACGAATATTGTTAAACTCTTCAACGGTATACGCTTCACTTCTTGGTGACCAATCCTGAAATAATTAAAAACATAAAAAATGAATAGTTTGTAAAGTACAATGCATATAATAGTCAAATTAAAACATATTGTTATACCTTTCCGATGTCAATGCTACCTTGATAAAAAATTGCTTCCCACATATAGCGCATGACATAATATCCACATTCTGTACTCCCAAGTTGTCTTGCACACTTCAATTATAATGCATATAAAAATAGTCAAAGAGGGTAAAAATGAAATATGCTACTTGTTGAACAACATATGGAATTTATATACCTTGATATCATGCCACTTGATTGACTTTCCACGACCATTGTGTGTAGAAGCAACTCTATACGCTCTATAAGAATTGTAAATATTTAAATATATTTATATAAGTTATAAGGTACAATACATATAATAATTATATACTAAAAAAACAATGTAATAATACGTACATTCCCAAGTCTTTTTGTATGGCAAAGCTAGATCCACTTGGAATAGAGTTAAAGATGAAGCCTTTATCAACTGTTGGACAAATCACAATCAAGATCCAATGAAACCTAGTTTTAAAAAACATGTATCAAGTTAGTCAAAATAAATAATTTTAAATAACCAAAAATAGTAATTTTACATTACACTTACCCTTCATTATATAGCAAGAAGATCATTCTTTTCTCGAAATTGACATTTAAGGCATGTTTGAAATATGTCATTGTACCCTTCTTGTCTATTTGATAAGCTTTTATGAGAGCACATTGATGGGCATAACAATGCAACATCATCACAACCAAGTTCATCCAGTTTATGCTTGATACAACTGTATTCAACAAAATAACACAATATATTATGTCTTCGTTAAGTTTAATTTTTTATATGTAATATTTTTAAATATTTTTACGTATTAAATACTTACAATAAAAAAGTCTGAACAATGCTAATATCCATAGAATCGCCATTGAGAAATTCAATCAGATCCTCACGATGAATACTGATCCCGAATTCCTTTTCTTCTTGGTAGTGGAACAACTCAACGGGTAAAGGAACTGAAAGCTTACAAAGTACGGGTTCATACCACTCGAGCATCTCATGTAACTCCTGCAAATCTTCACTAAGTGATTCCAAAACAGTCTCACTTATCAACGGATATGTGCTAGGAGGAACCATAGATCGTGGAATCTCTCTCGCTACAAAAGGCTTCTCCTTAATGAGCCATGTTTTTCTCCGCTTTACGCTTCAGAGTGCTAGAACTTACTCCAGAAAAATGGTTTTCAACATCTACACGTTTTTCACCATGTAATGTCCATGTTGTATAATTTTCCTTAAAACCCTTCTCAAATAAATGTTGAAGAATTATGTTCACATCTTTTTCCCTTTTGAGGTTACGACACATAGAACAGGGACATAAAATTCCTTTTTCTCCTTGTCCTTTCTGGTGCGCAACGGCAACTTTGATAAAATCATTGGCGCCATTGAAAAATTGTAAAGTGTTTCGCAAAGCATACATCCAATTGCGGTCCATGACAAACAAATCTCTAGTCTTATCAAGAACATGCAATGAGTAATACATTACTACGTACTAAAAAAAACAGAGAATATTTTACATGTCAAACATAGAACAAATTAGGACATAGTGAGTAAAGTAAAAGCTTCATTTAATATGCTTCACTTCATTTAATAACTTCATCTCAAACAGTACATTTAAATTAATCTAATACTATTAAAATAAGCCGATTCAAACTGTGGGATCAAATCAAGTTAATGAGACCAAATCAAATTATTAAGCCAAAACTATTAATGTTGGATCAAATCATATCAAACTATTAAAATAAGCCAATCTAATACATTTAATTCCAAATCCTATTTTTTAGGAAACATTTATTTTACTTTAAATCTCTACGTTTCAAAAAATAATAATAACAACTCATATCCATCCGAAGGCGAGAAAGTTGTTGCTGTACTTTAGATTTAATACTTTATTTTATTGTCAATGAGCTAGAGCTAATAGAGCTAAAAAAATCAGAATCTGCTTCGTTTTATTTTTACCTAACAAAAAATTTATTTTGCTTTAAATTTCCATCGGAAGAGTTTGACTATATATTTTATTAAATATTAGTGAAATTTAAAAAATTAAATTCTGAAATATACAAAAAACACATTCCATACTCCACACATAATAACATTCTTATTTATTATCATATTTAATATATAATATAATATTAAAAAATGGATAATAAAATAAAATAATGAAAAAAATTGAATTGAAAAACATACCAGTTGAATGTCAGGCAAGGGAGAAGAGTCGGCGAAGCAGACCGCAGAGGACCTCGACGCCTACCGGCGCAGGCCGCGAGGCTGGCAGCAGAGGACCGCGTGGAAGACGTCGCGGCTGATAAGGACGGCGTGGCTGGCGGAGACGGACGGCGTGGCTGGCGGAGACGGACGGCGTGGCTGGCGGAGACGGACGGCGTGGCTGGCGGAGACGGACGGCGTGGCTGAATATGGATGCACTGAGGAAGACGTCGCGGCTGATAAGGACGGCGTGGCTGGCGGAGACGGACGCTATCAGCGGCCAAGCGGGATTGTCCGGCGGATCTGGACTGTCAAACGGGAGGAGTTGTTTGTCGGCGGATTCTTGAGCTTCTTTGCAGCGTAAGGGAAATTTTTTGTGGTGGGCTAGGGTAATTTTTTTTAATCCTACGCGGCGCTGATAAGAAAGAGGCGCCGCAATGTTTATTAAAAAAATATTAAAAACTCTACGCGGCGCGTAGATTCCATATGCGCCGCACGCAAGTGGTCCAAATTTTATTCCGATTAATTGAAATTTTATACTCTATGCGGCGCTTTCTTTAAAGATGTGCCGCGAGCTTAATTTAAAAAATATTTAATATATTTGCGGCGCTTTTATAATAATAGGCGCCGCACGCGTGTCCCGCTTTGGTTAAATTTAATTGAAAACGAAAATCGTTTGCGGCGCTTACATTTAAATAAGCGCCGCACGTAATTAAAAAAAAATATATAATAGAAAAGGTGAACGGAGGGACGGCGCTTTAACATATAAGCGCCGCACGTTGAGTTTTTGAAGGCGCTTATAATTTAAGCGCCGCAAAAGAAGCGCCGCAGTTTAACGTTTTTCCACTAGTGTATGAGCCAAATCTTCAAAATTCTGCACGTTTTTTGTCTCTCCAGATTCTGATTTTGACACCCGAATCAACTCAATACCCGATCGAAAATTGCCTATATCCGAACGGATATATAAACTATTTTTCAATCTTCTCTTTGTCTTGTCCATTTGCACTTTCCTTAATCTTTTAGGGTCCAATCTTGGTTCTTTTGATGATCTTGACCTGTTTTAAGCTCAGAATAATCATAATCTAAAAAAAATTACAACTATCTAGAAAAATAAAGTAACTACACCAAAAGTGTGTAATTTCTACAACAACAAACAATAAAACTAATTAAAAATGTAACTATACATAATAAAAATATAACAATATCAGCCACCTCCAAAGGAAGTATCCCGCTCACAAGATCTAATAGAATTTCAAGCGGTGGTGACAGAAACACCCTACAAGAGAGGGGAACAAAAACGCTAGATATACCGGAAAGGAAACCATGACAGTCTTCAATTGCTCACGAGTAGCAGCCTGCGATCGAAACTAATCTCCCTGCTATGCCTCGAGCAAAGCCTGCGAAATCCAAAGTCCTCATCACGGAGCCCTTCTGCTACGATGATGCCGGCGATCTTGGTTAGGATTCAACGTCGCCTTTGTTTCTTTCGCTAGGGTTCATCGCTTTTCTCTCTTAAGCTACTCCAAATTTGTTGGTTGAATTAAATATCCCAAAATATCAAAATCATGTCGACTAACTTCTGTCTTAATCCAAGAGGGACTGAATAATTGTATCAACTGGTTTACTAGGTATTAATTTAGTTTCTAATTTCTATCAATCAGCTTATCAACTCAATTTGTCAAATTATTAATATAGAATAAAGAGTACAAAAAATGCACTAGCATTAAGGAGAAAAGAACATATCATGTGGAGATGGAGAAATTAGAAAGTGAAATGTGGGAGAAATAGGGAAATTGCATGGCCCTCAAGCAGGCCCCTATCATAAGTTACCCCACCTATGTTTTTCTGAACCAAATTAAACTTATTTTGAAGAATGATTTATATGCTCTAGGAGAATAATCTCAACTGCAGTAGAAGTGTCGTATTAAAAAATTTAACATTTGCCAAAAAGTTTTATATATATTTCATCAAAGTAATATGATGAAATAAGTAACTATGTTACATGCTTTCAGTTTGCATAAAAATGTGAATGCTAAGTAGTCTTCACACAATGAAGCTAGAAAAATACCCTAAATCATCCCAACTAGTGTTGGAGTAAATCTTAATTAGTTGAGACTTAATATCGCATACCCCATCTTAAAGCACCTAGCTGTATATATTAATTGAAGACTTAATTATTTATTTGTTTTTCAGCCAGATTTGAGAGTACTTTGGCTTCATGTATTATTTCTATTTTAACTAGTTTTATTTGTTGTTGTTTGGAAAATTACACACTTTTGGTGTAATTAGTTAATTTTCTTAGATAGATGTAATTTGTTTAGATTAGGATTATTCTGAGCTTAGAACAAGTCAAGATCATCCAAAGGATCAAGTTTGGACCCCAAAAGATCGAGGAAAGTGCAAGTGGACAAGATAAGATTGAAAAAATATTTCATATACCCGGTCGAGTATAGGAAATACCCGATCGGGTATTCAGTTGATTCGGGTGTCAAAATCAGAATTTGGAGAGACAAAAGAACGTGTAGGATTTTGACTTTTTGCCTCATACCCGACCGGGTATGCCTACATACCCGAAAAGTGATTTTCCGGGAAACTGCCTAAAATACCCGATCGGGTACCTATATACCCGATCGGGTACACAACCCTGCCACCTCCAAACACCTATAAATACACCCTTTTCCTTCACAATAAAATCATCCCTTCTTCCATATACTTAAGCTCAGTTTAGAATAGTTATTTCTTATATTTTTATAGCATGTTTAGTCTCCAAATGAGGAGCTAAACTTCCATTTCTTGGTTTTGCTCTTGAAGCTTGTTGGTTATTAAAGTTGTGAGTTGTTTTCTTAACTTCTTCTCTTGATTATTAATTCTTCCCTTAATCTCATTCTATATTAATGTTGGAGGGTTGCTAAGTGACGATTAGTTAACGTTCCGACATTAATTATTACTAGAAACGATCAACGAACCGATGGTTAATCGTTGATAGTTTCACAAGTAAGTAACTTCGGTTTATTAATGTACGGTCGTGGTTAATAAACTTAAGAGGGATTAATTTTGTTGGTTAAACCGAAACCGTTGTGTTGAGGTTATCAATCTCAATTGATTTCATCAAGGAGTTAAAGAGATTAAATGCTACTATTATATCGGTATACGGCGTTGTTCTATATTTGATTAATAGTAAGGGTTATTAATGAACGGTCGTTGTTAATAACTACCCTCGATGAATTGGAGTCAATTTCTTTAAAATGTATTGGTTGATGTCTTTGTCATTGTCTAAACTTAGAATGTAATAGATTTAAATATCGTTGGAAATGTGTATGTATTAATGTCATTTTTTGAATTAAAATAGTCGCATAGCCCTACAACACCGAAAAAATTCGCCCCACTACACTATGGAAAAAAAATTCGCGCCGCTACATTAACGAAAAAATTTTCGCCATCTACACTAACGAAAAATTTCGCCCCCCTTGAGTCAATTTCCTGGATCCGTCCCTGATTGGAGATACTCCTCGGTTGAGTATTCGAGATGGGATAAGTTATAGATATAACAATGATCGACTAAAATATATCAACAAGTGGAAAGTAGAAAGACCAAGTCCTTTTATTCTTGAATTTAATCCCATATAAGTCATTCATCTTCGTGTTTAAATTAATTAAATCACTCAATCAAAACCCCCCCTTTATTTACTAGTTTCATAAAAAGAGAGTTATTCCTTTCCCTGTTGATACGAACTCTACTTCACCTATACTACGTATAAGTGTTAGTATCGATTTATTTTGACGCACGTGACAAAGTGTCCGTCAAATTTGGCGCCGTTGCCGGGGAAAGGCAATTATTTTTCTTTTTATTTTATTTCATAAAAAAAAAATATATTAAAACTAAAATCTTACCCTTCTTTTTTTGAGCTTACATGAGTATATGGATACCAACACATCATCCTTAGAGAGTCAAATTTCCACCTTGACTTCTCTAATAAAAGAATTTATATTAAACTCAAAAGCTCAAGATGTCAAGACATGCAACATTTGCATGTCTCGTGGTTATTGATTTTTCCCTGACAAATCCCTAACAAAATTAGTCAGGGATATTTTATCCCTAACAAAGATTTGTCAAGGCACTGGAGCCAGGGATAAAATCCCTAACAAAATCCCTAACAAAACTGTTTATGAGGGATTTTTTGAACTGTCATCCCTCACCATATCCTTGACAAATTCAATGTTTTTTTGTAGTGTATGTGTGTGTGTGTGTATATATATATATATATATATAGGAAAAACTTTCGGTAAGGTATACCTTACCGGAGCCTCCGTTCGGCCTCCACTTTTTGAGGGTCTTCCCGGTGGAATTTTTCGATCAAATTTTTTTAGCATGTTCTTCAATAAGTCTAGTACATACATACCAAATTTCAGCAACAAATTCAATTAGGAAGGCAGTCAAACGATTTTTGGAAGATAAGTGCGTTATATATGTATATAAAGGGTGCAGTTATCTTCCAAAAATCATTTGACTGCCTTCCCGATTGCATGTTTTGCTGAAATTTGGTATGGATGTACTAGACTTGATGAAGAACATGCTCAAACAATTTCATCGAAAAATTCCACCGGGAAGGCCCTCAAAACCTGGAGGCCGCACGATGGCTCCGGTACGGTATACCTTACCGGAAGAGTTCCCTATATATATATATATATATATATATATATATATATATATATATATATATATATATATATATATATATATATATATATATATATATATATATATATATATATATATATATATATATATATATATATATATATACACTCATAAAATATATGGTGAGGGGGTACATAAAATCCATTTTTGTACATCTCAAACTCTTTCTTCCTATCCCTTGGATCTGTGCCATGGGATCCATTTCCAATTTAATTCACCTTCTTCGGCAACTTATGGAGAAGTATTGAGACGCTCACAAGGATTTGCATTTAGTGCTCATTGACTTAGAAAAGGCATATGATAGGGTACCTCGAGAAGTTCTTTGGTGGGCCTTAACTAGAAAAGGCATTTCACGCAAGTATATTAGCATCATCATGGATATGTATGAGGATTGTACAACAAGTGTCCGTACTAGTGTAGGGAGGACTGCGGAGTTCCCTATTACTATCGGAGTGCACCAAGAATCGGCTCTGAGCCCTTTTTTATTTGCCATAGTCATGGATGAACTTACAAAGTCAATTCAAGACGATATACCGTGGTGCATGATGTTTGCCGACGATGTTGTATTGATTGATGAGACACAATCAGGGGTTAAAGCAAAGTTGGAAGTATGGCGACAAACATTGGAGAACAAGAGTTTCGGACTAAGTAGGAGCAAGACAAAGTACATGGAGTTCAAGTTTGGTGGAGGTAGAAGCAGTGGTAATAGCGGAATTACTTTAGATGGTAAGGAGATATCGGTCAGCGATATGTTCCGTTACTTGGGCTCCATAATTCAGAAGGACGATGAGTTAGATGGAGATGTATCCCATAGAATCAGAACAGGGTGGATGAAGTGGAAGAGTGCGTTACAATTTCTATGCGATCGAGGTATGCCGACTAGACTGAAGGGTAAATTTTATAGGACAGCAATTAGGCCTGCATTACTGTATGGCACGGAGTGTTGGGCGGTGAAACAATGTCACATTCAAAAGATGAGTGTGGCAGAGATGCGCATGCTACGTTGGATGTGCGGGCATACTAGAAAGGACCGCGTGAGGAATGAGACAATCAGACAAAGGGTAGGAGTAGCATTTATTGAAGATAAGATGCGGGAGTCGCGCCTACGCTGGTGTGGTCATGTGCATAGAAGACCGAGTGATGCACCTGTCAGACGAGTTGAGATGTGTGGAGAAGAGGTAAGGGAGTCAGAAATGATATGCTTCTTCTTGGATTGGATGAGGGTATGGCTTTGGAGAGAGCAAAATGGAGGGTGGGTATTGACGTGCACTTGTCGTGAGGTGCACTCAAAATAATATTCAATACTAACACTAATACGTAGTATAGCGAAGTAAGGTTCGTATCCGCAGGGAAAGGAATACTTCTCTTTTTATAACTAGTAATAAGGGGGGTTTTTAGATTTGTTGTTGAAGAACTTTTAAGAATATTAAAACACAAAGATGAACGAGTTATGTGGTTTAATTAATGAGAAGGAGACTTGGTTTTGCTTTTATCCACTTAATGAAATGTTCGTCGATCCCGGTTATATCTTTAACTATCTTCCTCTCGAATACTCAATCGAGGAGTATATCCAATTCATCGAGGGTAGTTATTAATAACGAGACGCGTTCATTAATAAAACTTACTACCGAGTTAATATAGAACACGCGCCGTATATTCACTCGATAGTAGCAATAAAATCAAGATGAAAACGATTGAGATTGATAACCTCAACACAAGCGGTTTATTGGTTTAATCAATATAATTAATTCCCCTTGGTTTATTGATACGTTTGTAATTTCCGTGTGTTTAATTACATTTTTAGTTAGTTTTGGTTGTTTAGTATTTCGGAAATTACACACTTTCGGTGTAATAGTTTAGTTTGTTAAATTCTTGTAAATTGTTTAGATTAGGTTTATTCTGAGCTCGAACAGGTCTGACATCACTCAAGGACAGTTGGTGAAC